AGCGGGCACTGTTCTCGTGTTTGAAAATCAAGGTGGGAGTCCTTCTGCTTTTATTCTTCTCCTTCAACCTTGTGGCTGCACGAGGCCTCACGCCACTCTCCATGAGATGGACGGTGGCTTTTGCCCTTTCTGGGAAGAAGGTTGTTGGGATTTGGGTCGGGATTGTGTTAAACTATAGCGTGCCCTGGGGCGGACCGACAGCTGAACGCTATTAAGTCTTCCAATCCATGAGCAGTCAGCCCTTCTGTGGTCTCGTAGAAATGCTACGGGCCATGTTTTATCACGGTGTAACTGCCCCAAACCACACGGCATCTATGTAATGACGACTCAGTGAGTTCTGAAAGGTGTTCACACACGAAGGAATGGAATCGGGCTCAAGTTCTATAACTGATCCTCCCATGACGAAGGGGTTAGGGACCAGGAAGCCAAGAGGCACTACACAGTCAAAAATGCCTACAGTTGTCAGGGCGACCGAGAGGCCCTGGACCTCCCCTGGCTGGATGTGAGTTGGAAGACTCCCTCAGGCAGACCAAACCCTGGTGCCTGCGGGCACTCCTACCCTGTCCCCCTACCCCCCAATGCCCCATAGAAAAGGCAGTTCTTCCAGGCCCAACCCAGCCCCTCTGCTTCAGGTACCCACTTTCCAGGGGCCCTCCATGGTTAGGTGCAGCCTGCTGGGGCGCCAGCCAGAGTCTCAGGCTAAAGTCTCAAGTCGTGAGTGTTTATGTGCTTGTTGGGCAAAAGTGATAACTTCCCGGATAGATCTTCCCAGGGCAGGGTGGGGGTGGAGGGAAGCAACAGGGCCCGGGCCCTGCCACCCACTTTATCTTCGCAGGGGCAGAGGTGGCCCTAACCTGCTTGGCACGGGGCTTCCTCCCGCATCACTGCCCTGCTGACCCCAGGCTTTCAGCATCCCTTTCCTTTGCCGTTTTGGGTCACCATGTCCCTATAAATCTTGAATCTCCCGCAGCTGCAGGGGAACTGTGTGAGATTGAGCCTCTGTTGTCCCCAATTCTGGGCAGCCACTTGGAAAGGGAGAGTCCCACTCAACATTCCTGAGCTGCCTCAGGGCCACTGCCAGGGCCCTGGGCTGAGATTGGGGGTGGGGAAGGGAGGGCAGGGATGGGAGACTAGCCAAAAGGCAAGGGTCTGGCCAGCCAGAGCACAGAGTGGGGAGCCTGCTCCCACTTAAGCCTGTTTTCTCTCTGTCCTACAGAGCCTCAAGTCACCATCTGGGGGCCAAATGATGTTTGCCCAAAGCCAGTGGGGCTCTGGCAGGCTGATGGCTACCTCACTAGCCCACTGGGACAAACTGAAGCAGAAACTGCTGGTCTACCACCGAGAGGCGTCCAGTGCCGGACAGACACAGCGATCTGGCTCAAGCCAGAGCTTCACAATTGAACAGGTGAGCTCGGGACCATGAATCAGGAAGAGCACAGGAGAACCCATGCATGTGCGTTTCGGTACTGGCCAAGAATACCTAATGTGCCACGAACTGCGAGAACCACGCATGTGGGGGGAGGTCAGATGCGCAGGCATTCCCTCCCCTGAAGGCAATCAGTTGCCAGACTGCTGTCTCATCCCACCACGGGTGGGCCTGCTCCCTGCCTCTGGGGACAATGGACAGGCTCCTGTAGGAGGGGTTTGCACCCTACTGATAATGGTTCCTATGGAGACCCAGAGACCACCCCCTAGACCACCCCCTCATTGCTGTGTAACCTATAGTGCATCCCCTTCCTGTGACATATGTCTCTACCTGTAATTAGTGGGCTGGCTTGCCCCCAAAAGGTATATAGGTGTGAGTCAGCAATATAGAGCTCTCTCTCTGACTCTGAGCTCCTTGCTGCTCACTCCCTGGTCACTCCCCTCTCCCTTGTTCCCTTCCCCTCCTTCCCTTCCCCCTCTCTCCACGTGGACCACCAAGCTGGGCTGAGGTGAGTAATGGTACTATGTAACATGCCTGACTGTATTATTATATTATCTCTCATGCTCTCGATGACTTTAATATAATACTTATATATCTCAACCGTACAATTGTGCATTACTGAATCCGAGTAGTAGCAATAGGAGTATTAGCGGTGGGGGCTGGCCCCCCACCCCTCCTTCAGCGTCATTTTTTAATTTAATACTACACACGCACACACCCGTCTGAGAAGATGGACGGACAGCCAGAATGCTCCTTAGAAGCAAAGGTGGTTAGAGTCTGTCTTGGGGACTTTGGACCAGCCTCTGGAAGAGGACACCATGCTTGGGCAGCCAAAAAGGAAGGGACCCCCCACTCAAGGAGATGGATGGACACCGCGGCTGCAGCAATGGGCTCAGACATACGGACAGTTATGAAGATGGGCCAGGAACTAGCGGCATTGCTTTCCGTTGTGCGTCGGTCACCATGAACCAGAGCCAACTTCATGGCGCCCGACAGCACGCCACGGGCTTGGGGATGAGGCTTGGCATCACCCTTCTGAAAGGGAGGAGCCTGGGGTGGCGGGGCTGTAACTCACAGCCATTGAACTGAGGCCTACTTCCACCGACTCTGAAGAACAGGGGGGATGTGCCCGTGAGTTTCTGAGACCTTAACTGTTGACTCGGAGTGGCTTGGTGTTTTGGAATGCTGATCCAATGCAGCCCGATCGTTAAACTACCACACCAGGGCCCAGCAGGGTCAGAGTCGTTAAAGAACTGTTGAGGGCATTCGGGGCAGGGATCGCCACTCCGCTGCTGGCCAAGGAAGACCTTTCCCGAAGGCGCCACCATGGGCACACACGGCAGAGCGCCTGAGAATGCTGGAGACCCGAAGGCGGCAGAGGCGGCATGGCCCTGTCTTCCCATTGACAGCTGAGCGCACAGGCCCGGGCCGCAGCCCTGGCAAGACTCAGACCCAGGTGGACTTGGACGGTGGGAACGCAGGACCCCGCCAGTCACCCTATTCCTGTGTGTGAGGCCAACGTAGTGGTTAACGTGTTGGGCTGTGATCCGACTGGTCAGCAGTTCAAAATCACAGCCGCTCCTTGGAGAAAGACCAGACTTTCTACGTGGTAAGCCCACAGGTGGGTGGAGCTATGAGTCAGCATTGACTCCAGGACAGTGAATTAAGGCCAGTGTGTGGTCAGGCTCACCCTTTGGGCCCAGAGGCTTTTAAGAGCCACTAATTCAGATGGCTCACATAGGCCAGAGGCACTTAGCGGCCTGAGTGGGTTATCTAGAAAATTCTCTTAAGAGGAACAGCGCTAAGGTGGATGGCCTCAGCTAACCTGCCCCACCTACTTCCAAAGCCCTGAGCAGCTCTCCGCGCAGCTGGCCCTATTCCCTGCCCCCAACAGGCGGTGCGGGACTTGGGGCAGCTGTGAGGGGTCAAGAAAGCTGAGGCCAAACCCAATTTCAAATGCTGCCCCTGCCCAAGCCTCATGGTATGGGTTGAATTGTGCTTCCCCCCTCACCCCGGCATGGCTTGTCCACCTGAGGCCCCAGACTTACAGTTAAAGATTCGGCTGCTAACTGGAAGGTGAACAGCTGGGGTCTGCCCGCCTGCTCCAGGGGAGGAAGAGGGGGCCATCAAGATAACAGCTTTGGAAACCCTATGGGGCCGCTCTACTGCCCTCCAGGGTCTCTGGGACTCAGAGGGCAGCGACGTTTGGGGTACCTCTGGGGGTAGTCCCGTTGGGGATGGCTTTTCTCTGTACGATCACAGAGGGGGCCAATGTATGGCGTGTGCGAAGGCAATCACTCCTGAGATGGGAAGCGCAATGACTGGCAAGACGGCCCTGCCCCATGGCAACCGTAGAGATAGAGACGCTGAAAAGGGGCCAGGACACCCCACACACACACACATACACAGAGCAGATGGAGCGAGAAAGCCTCCCCTGAGAGCTGGCACCTGGAATTCAGAGGTCTGACATTTTAAACCGTGAGAAAGCGCATCTGTCCCTGAAGGCCACCTTCTGGGGCATTTCAGTACAGCAGCTCTGGAGAGGGCAAGGGCCCTGCTTCTCCCCAGCAAGGACGGGCCTGGGGTCCCCGCCTGTGTGCTCAGTACATGGAGTTGAAAGTGGGTGCCTTCATTCATATCCTGGGGCCACTGTGTCCTCCGCGGAAACCTCTCTGTGCCTCAGTCTGTCCATCTGCCCAATGGGTGTGCTCATGGACAAGGAGTCCAAGATCTAGTCCAACAGCTCAGGGATTAGCTCTTGTTTGGGGACACTGAGGCCAAGGTGGGTCCCTGTGGCCCCTCAGCTATCTCTGCTCCATGGCTCCACCTGGAGGCTGCCCACAGGAAGGGGCAGGCAACTGGGACGAGCGAGCGCCAAACCCAGCTGAGGAGGCAAGTCCCAGATGGAGGGGTTGTTGAGGGGTGGGGGGTGGAACTGAGGCTCTGGAGGGTACATTCAGGGCGACAGGAGACCTCTTAGAGAAAGGCTACTGATAGGACAGAGGCCTTGACAAGGGACCCTGGCTAGCCTGCAGTGGCTGGGCGCACCAGCAGTAGGACCCCAGCCAGCCAGACCAGAGGGAAGGCCCTTCCAGGTGTCGATAGCCCCAGAAGTTGTTGTGCCCACCCGAGACACCTCCCCACCACCACCCACCCAGGATCCTCAGAGGACCCAGCCACCCACCTTCCACCTAGGACTGCTGTTCTAGACCCCAAAGCATCCAGGCCACTACTGTCCAGCCTGCGTTGCTACCAGACATCACCAATCAATCTTCGACCCTCAGACTCCGAGCACCAGGTTCTGGCTACCTTAGCCTGGAGTTGACCAACATCCCGTCAGCCGAGGCGGGGAGACCCAAGGAGTGCCAGGGGTCAAGCGAGCCTCAGGGGCCACTTCTCAAGGGACCAGGGAGGCCTGCTGGAGCAGGGGGTGGGGGGGGTGGGAGCTTCCAGGGCTTGGATTTAATCCCTAGCACGCGGGTCAGCAAGGGAAGGATTGGGTTGCGTCTACCAGGTGGCCAAGCCTTGGCCCGAGCCCTGGCAGGCAGGAGCAGAGGCGTGTGGCAGCCCTGTCTCGACCAACAAAGCCGTCCTTTATTAAATAGAGATCGCGTTACATTCCACTCAGAAGAAAATCCGCACATGCTGAGGGATGTGCCCTGGGCCAAGCAGGCTGCACGCTGCATGGGCAAAGTGGGTGAGGTGCCCCCTCCAAGGCCCAGTGGGCTCGGCCCCTTTGTCGGCGTGGCCACTCACTGCTGGGTGTGGGCGCCCGAGGCAGGGTGTCCCAGCGCCTCCAGGAAGCCCAGGGCGGAGACAGGGAGTGTGCAGGAAGAGGGGTTTGGATCCTCCTGAAGACCCCCTGGGGCAGTTCTGAACCATGCCAGGTGGGAGTGGAGAGGGCATGGAGGTCCTGCTGGCCCTGCCCAGCCCTGCTGTTCCATGGGCACTTGGGACAGCAGGGGATGCTGGGAAAGGGTTCAGGGCCAATTTGGGGCACTCAGCCCACCACGGAGACCACCTGGGAGTCCGGTAAGGGGTGGCCACAGGAGGATGCTGGTGGCTCAGTATTTGGGAGTTAGGGTCCAGACCACCCCCTGCAGCCCCCATTTGGGAGGTCAGGAAGGCTACAAGGCTCCAGGTGTGTGTGTTGGGAGGGAGGGTGTTGGCTACTCCAGGAGCCCCTCCCAAGGCTGAGACCCCTGGGCACAGCCCCTCACATCCCTATCTTTGGTTTCTCTCAAAGTCTCTGGTGAGCGGTGGAGTCCAGGGAGACGAGAGAAGCCTCCCCAAGCCGGCTGTTTGTCTGTCCTGGGGCAGATGTGTGGCTTCTGGCTCCAGGCTGGCTCCATGACCCTGTCCTCCTTTCTGTCCATCTGTCCCCAGGCTGGTGTCCGCTCCGGCCCGGCAGCCCCGGCAGGCTGGGCCTTGCCTCAGGCCTCCTGGGGAAAGAAGCCCAGCTTGGCCAGGGACATCTCCTTCCGCAGCCTGACGATCTCCCAGAACATGGGCTCCACTGTGGGACAGGGAGAGGGGGACAGTTGGGGGCAGCCCTTAGGGGAAGGGCAACTAGAGCTGTGTCCTCAGGCTGCCCCGAAACAGATGACCGGGAGGCATGGCAGCCCTGAAATTCCATGGGAGGACCAGGGTGTAGGTGTGACAGACAGCACCTTGGAAACGTGCATGCTGACCGCACGCACTGGGTGACATCGCCCACACCCTGACCGGACATCATGCTCATCAGTGATAAGCCCTGGCCTCCAACCACCATCTCCAGGTCCCTGAGCAGTGGGTGGCTCTGGGAGGTCAGCTCCCCATGACCCCGACTGGCCTCGTGGCTGTCATTGTCCTGTGTGCCCTGACCTTGAAGGCAGAGCTGACCCAGGCTGGGGAGGGGCGGCTCTGTCAGGAGGCTCAGACTGCTGAGTGCTGATAGGGTCTCCAAGGCACAGAGGTGCAGTCAGTGTGTGTGTGTGTGTGTGTGTGTGTCAGGTGGGGTGTGTGTGTGTGTGTGTGTGTTGATAGGGTCTCCAAGGCACAGAGGTGCAGTCAGTGTGTGTATGTGTGTGTGTGTGTGTCAGGTGGGGGTGGGGTGGGGGGTGGGGGTGGGGGCCAAGGGAGGCCTGTCAGAAAGGGCACGTGGAGAGCAAAGGCCCCAGCCATGGGAAGTCCATGCAGGCAGGGGACACTGGACGGCCACACCAGGTTGGGGAAGAAGGACCGCAGAGCCCCGAATGCCAGGCCAGTCATAGGTGCACGGTCCCTGCTGACCTAGGAGCGGGAGAAGGTTCTGGCATGACAGAGGACAGCCCTGCCCAGGACAACCACCAGCCAGGAAAGAGAAGCGTCTTTGTGCCCCTGTGATGATCTGCAGTCTCGCAAACTCACAGGGGCAGTTCTACGCTGTCCTGTTAGGTTGCCCTGAGAACAGTCAATGGCACGGCTGTTTTGGGTTGGCATGGGCTGGCTTTCTGGGGGGCTCCTTATGCCAGGTGGAGCCCAGCTGACTCCTTCTGCAGCGCATGCCCCACAGAGGCCAGCATCCAGGAGCCCAGCAACCCCCAGCTATTGTACACCAGGGTCCCCCTTTCTGGGCACAAGCTATCCCTCCGCCGGCCACCAGGAGGCACTCACCGTCCTGCCGCACCAGGCCTTGCTGGATGTAACGGATGTAGGTGAAGAAGTTGCACACAGCCGTGATCTGGGGGCAGAAGGGAAGGCATGTGACCAGCTAGCTCCCGACACCCAGCGTCCGCAATGAGCCAGAGCGCATCCGAGACCAGAGCAGGGAGCCCGACATCCCCATCCGAGTGTGAAAATGCTCCCCAATCGGATGAGGCTGCCCTCTCCTAACAGCAGCACTTGCTGTTAGGGACCGTCCAGTTGGTTCTGACCCATCCCGACCTTCTGCAGCACAAGGCGAGACCACCCTCATAGCGTCCCCATGCCTGAGCCGGGGATGCAGCCACGGCGTCAATCCGTCTCCTCAAAGGCCGTCCTCTCCTTCGCAACAGCAAGACTGACTACTCCTGAATCAGTGGCCAGAGAGCCCCCGACTGGATTCGGGGGAGCTTGTGGGTGTCACAGAGCTGTGCTCCGCAGGGCTTCAGATGGCTGCTTTTGGGGGAAATGGATCACCGGGCCTTTCTTCCTCCACAGCACTTGAACCTGCCACCTTGAGCTTAAGCAGCATCAACTAGTTGCAGCACGCAGGGACTCTAGCAAGACTCCTTCCCTCCTAACCACAGCAGGAACAGCAGGGAACAGACTGCTAAGCTCCCCTAGCAAGTCACCCTCCTGGGAACCCTGAGAGCTTGTACTGCTGGGAGAACTGACCGCTGACCAGAATGAGCGACCAGCACATTGGAGAGGGGCCTCTTCAGCCACGGCTCTCCATCCAGTCTGCTGCAGGCCACGGGCCACTTTGTCCCCTTCAGCCCTTCGTGCCCAGGGTGGGGAGGGCTGGAGACCTGAAGGCCTGTCCCCAGATAGCTCAGCAGGTTCACACCACGGGCAGCATCTTCCAGATAGTTGGTCTCTCGGTCGCCCTTGTCAAAAGAGACCAGTCCCTGGAGAAGGGCGTCATGGTTTAAAGTCAAG